GTGCAGGAAAATCTCTCTGCCCCCCAAGTGCCCCTGATGTGTGGATTTAGATATCCGCACGCAGGGGGCGTCTTGAGTGCAGGTTATATGTATGTAATTTTCTTGTTGTTTTTGGCAAGTTGCAGCTGACGTTGGAACCTGTAGGGTTTTCAAGGCGAGAGACTTTGAGAGGTGGGTTGCCATTGCCTCCCTCTTTGTGAGATCCTAAATGATGGTGGTATTCCTTGGTGGTCTCCCATTCCGATACTGACCAGGGCAAACCTTGCTTAGTTTCATGAGATCTGATGAGATCAGGCTAGCCTGTGCTATCCAGGTTGGAACATGTATGTAAACTAAACTAAAGCAGAATAAGCAACTGCTTGTTGGAGTAGAATCTTAACATATCAAGACATGGCAGTTGGTCTGATAATGTTTGTTAAACATTTATTTCAGTAAAAATACAAAGGAAAATGTGTAGAATTGATTAGCGTCACATGACTACCAAGAGGAGTGCTTAGCTTTAAAAGCTGATGCTAGGAATTGCAAACAGATTAACAGAAGAAAGAGGACTAGAACTAAGAACATTATTGGATAACTATATGTCAGTTTCTAATTTTAAAAACTGAAAGAAATATTGATGCTAGCGTTTTTTTTATTTATTTATTCTTCGGCATTATAAGACCAAGGTGAAAATTAAGCAGGTCATTTAAGACTGTGTTCCTCTTAACACATATAAAATAATTCTGCAAATCTGGACTGACTGATTGGATAATACAGCATGTTAGAAGTTAGTTGTGTTGCTTAGGCAGTTAGTGACAGTTTTGCCTTGGCTGGTACTGAGATAAGATAATGTGGAAAGACTGGTACTTGAGAGTGGCTACAAAGGGAAAAAAATAGTTGGGGAAATAAAACACTCTTTTGTAAAGTAAATATCTGACATTCCTGTATTTTAAAAAAAACCTTCCAGACTCTGTTTTCCTAAATAGCAGCATGTTTCTTCCTGCTTGCCTCCCTTCTGCTCTGGGTATGGACATCGTTAGTATGTTCTTTACATATGTCAGAACTTATGCTCAATGTAACTGCCTTACAGTTAGATCTGCACACACCCTCTCAGATCGTTGAGCTCTTATTTACCCTGTGGCATCTATGCTGTGGTGGTGTTCAGGACTCTATTTGGTCCCTCCTGCTATTCCGTACCTACAAAAGACCACTGACAGAGGTCATCCAGGAATTTGGGGATGAATCTTTATGAATATTATTAGTTATTTAGTTTATTTAGGTTTATACCCCGTCTTTCACTCCAGTGTGGCCCCAGAGTGGCTTACATCATTCTTCTGCCTTCCATTTTATCCTCACTACAACCCTGTAGGGTAGATTAAGTTGAAAGTGTGTGATTTGCCAAGGTCACCCAGAAATCTTTCATGGCAGAGTGGGGATTCAAACCCAAGTCTCCCACATCCTACTCTGACACTCTAACCGCTGTACAACACTGGCTTTCAGTGTGGATGATACCCAGTTCTATTTTTACTTTCTTCTGGTTTAGGAACAGGTGCCTGTCCAGGTGCCTGTCGTCCTGCAGGTGCTGCCCAACCCTCATGGGAGGTAGCTGGAGCTTGGCTTCCCCAGGCAGTCCCACCTGTCCAGGTGCCTGTCGTCCTGCAGGTGCTTCCCAGCCCTTATGGGAGGTAGCTGGAGCTTGGCTTCCCCAGGCAGTCCCACCATAACTACAGCCCATCAGTGTTCCCTCTAAGCTGAGTTGGTGTAAGCTAGCTCACAGGTTTTTTTAGCCTCCGGCTCACACCTTTTTGTCTTAGCTCAGCAAGGATGGCTCCAGAGCAAACTAATTTATGCAGTAGCCAAATCGCTTGCTCACAACCAATGCTCCCTCTAAGCTGTGGAGTCTTGTGCAGTTAAGATGGAGGTCCTCCTGTTGGTGGTTGGTTACACTGAGTTTAGGGGAAGGTGTTTGTTCTGTTGTAGATGGGATTGTAGTCCCCCTTAACAGGCAAGTTCAAAGCATGGAGGTGCTTTCTTGCCTTTAGTTTAAGTGCACATGCGCCATTCTGTAGTTTGAATTTTTTTACTCAGTTCAATAGGTGTGCCAGCAGTAATCTTCCTGGACAAAAATGGTCTGGTCCCAGTTATCTATGTCTTGGTAATGCCCAGGGTAAGTAATTGCAGTGCATTGCATAAGAGGCTGCCTTTGAATCCTGCTTGGAAACTTCAGCTGGTTCAGGTAGACCGCTGACCAGAATTTTCCAATTAAAGCTTATCTTGCTGGTGATAACCAATCCCAGTGGCTTCCATTTTGTTTCTACCACAGTTCAAAGTGTTGCTTTCAGAGTCCTATACATCTCGTGCCTGGGTATTTAAAGGACCATCATTTTCCATACTTACTGCCCATTAACATTATGAAATAAGGTATCCCATAGAAGACCTCATCTGTAAAGGAGAGGAGGATTGTAACCAGGTATGCAGTCTTCTCTGGTAGTGCCCCAGTTACGAAACTCATCTGTAGAGGCTGGCACCTGGTACCTTCTCAGGTATCTGTTAGGCAATTGAAGATTACCACCAGTGTGGTATAATGGTTAAGCGTGTCAGACCCAGATTTGAATCCCCCCTCATGCCATGAAAGCCCACCTTGGGCCAGTCACATTCTGTCAGCCTCAGCTGCCTCACAAGGTTGTTGTGAGGACATAATGGAGGAGACTGATGTAAGCTGTGTTGGGTCTCCATTGGGGAGAAAGGAGGGATATAAATGAATTAAATAAATGAATTATTCACCTGAACATTTAGCTTCTTTATATATCCTTATGCTATTGCTGTTTTGATGTTTGCTTGGATTGGCTTTATTTTTGGTTTTTTTATAGATGATGCTAGCTTTTATTTGCTAGCAGTCTTGGAAATACTCCGAACTGTAAGAAGATATACATATTTTATATTACTAATATTCTCCTAAGTAGTTTGCATAACCAGTTGTCTTGTGGCCTGGTTTTTTTAAATGATACTTAGAGTTAAAATTTTAAATATTCCATTCTGGTAGTTTTTGAGAAGTTTCATGCATTACAGGAGTAATAGTTCTTTACTAAAGAAGTCATATAATATTAACAGATATGAAAACATTCCTGGTAATTATTGAAAGGCCGTTGTCTCTAATTTAAAATGACTATTAATTTGGATTTTTTTTTGAGCAATAAATGGTCCCTTTAGAAATACTTTGCATTACATGCTATGTATACTTTGCATATCTGTCCCTTATATACAAAGCCGTAGTCGCCTCCAACGTTCGATGGGCATCAACAGTGTTTGGCCGCACGAACTGTCGCTCAAAACCTTTCCCAGCTTCCCCTATCCATTGACTGCGTTGTCTAAGTCCCACCCCAGAACACGGGCACTGCAGCCCTGCCTCTGCGCCCCGTCCCCTCAGAAGACAGACTATTGCTGAAAGGGTGAGTGGAGCCCTCGGGGGGAGCAGTTGGAGGGCGGTGGCGGTGCTGCACCGGCCGCTGCAGGCCCATTTTCGCCGCTCCCCCCCCCAGCTTCGCAGCCCTTCGGGGGAGCAGTTGAAGGGAGGCGGTGGCGGTGCTGAGCCGCCCGCCGCAGGCCTGTTTTTGCTGCCCCTCTTCCACGACCTTTGAGGGGAGCAGTTGAAGGGCGGCGACACTGAGCCGGCTGCCGCACTCCCGCTTGCCGCCTTCGCAGGTCGTCAGGGGCAGCAATTGAAGGGCGGCCGCGGCGGCACTCAGCCAGCCGCCGCAGGCCCGTTTGCACCGTTTCCCCACCACTACCACCCACTTAGCGGCCCAATGGGGGGAGCACTTGAAGGGCGGCGGCACTGGGCCGGGCGCCGCAGGCTCATTTATTTATTTATTTATTGTATTTATACCCCGCCCTCCCCGTGAACGGTTTGCACCGTTCCCCCCCACCCTCGCAGGCCTTCGGTGGGAAGAGTTGACGGGTGGCGTCAGCAGCGGCGGCGCTAAACCGGCCACCGCATGCCCGTTTGTGCCGCTTCCACCCACCCACCCACACACACTTCGTGGGCCGACGGGAAGAGTTGACAGGTAGCCTCAGCGGCGGTGGCGTCAAACCGGCCGCCGCATGCATGTTTGTGCTGCTTCCACCACCCCCCACACACATACTTCGTGGGCCGACAGGGGGAGCAGTTGAAGGCCGGCCTCGGCGGCAGCGCTGAAGCAGCCACCGCAGCTCCGTTTGCGCCGTTACCCCCCGGCGTCGCGGGCCGTCGGGGAGAACAGCTGAAGCGTGGCGGCAGTGGGGGCGGTGCTAAGCCGACCAACCAAGACCCATTTTCGGCACTCCCCCCCCCCGGCTGGCTATCTAGGTCTCCAGGGGGAGCAGGTGAACACTCCAGTCGCACCTTTGAGACCAAGTTTTTAGGCAGCTGCACACTACACCTCCTCTGTGAGGGTGAATCTGCACATTTCAAAACCCCCCCCCAAACAAAAACACTCCAGTGCCCCCTTTCAGACCACATTTCCTTCAGGTACATGTTCACCCTCCTTTGCAACTGCAGATCTCCATTCCCCCCCCCCTTTAGA